GGCGATGCATACCTGACATCTTCCAAGTTGCCAAGGTTGAGAAACACTGTCCTAACCACTGCTGGGGAATTCTGGGAGTTGAAGTCCGGACATCTTCCAAGTTGCCAAGGTTGAGAAACACTGTCCTAACCACTGCTGGGGAATTCTGGGAGTTGAAGTCCAGACATCTTCAAGTTGCCAAGGTTGAGAAACACTGTTCTAGTCCAATCCCCTCCTCAAGCAGGAGACCCCACACCATTCCAGAGAAATGGCCGTCCAGGCTCTCCTTAAAATTTTCCAGTCTTGGCGCAACTCTCCACAACGTCTGGAGGCCAACGGTTCCCGTGATTGATTAACAGGGAAAAAAACAGTTGGAAAGGAAAGTTCAAGTTAGTTCCGAAGGCCCCCAGCTTCGAAGGCTGAAGTTTTATAAGTCAAGGCGCGTCTCTCTCATGTGGCCGTCCCACTTCTACGCAGGCACGCTCTTCCCTTGTCTCAGATTGAGCATCGTTCTGCAGCAGGAACCTCATGAATTAGCAGGAGGTCGTGATAATTAGTCCCTCCTGGGATCTCCTGACCCCAAATCTCCCAGAACTCAAAGTAGCTCTCTTGAATCTGGCCGTTTTTCTTCCTGCTTAAGGTCCGTCCGAGGTCCATTCAAGCCAGAAGGGCCAAAAGAGCTTCAGTGAAGCTGGAGCCTCGAACTCTTGAGCTCTTCGAAGCTTCGGGCCCTGGAGATAGAAGTCCAGGAAGGCAGACGCCCTCCACGGAGGAACAGCCAGGCCACAAATATTCTGGCCATCAACACAGCAACCTTATTCTGCCTCTTAGCAATATCCTTGGCTGCCCAGGGGAGGTTTTGCTCACCTGGCTAGTGGTCAGCAACTGGCCAGCTACCACCGTAAGGGAGGGAAACTCCATATGGTGCAGCTGCACCAGGTAACCGGGGGTCTCCGGCCTTTGACACACCTGTTGTGGTATGGTTATGCTTCATTAAGGTCACAGGTGTTTGGTCCTTGATTGTTTTATGGCCTGGACTTTCTAATTCTTGCAGGCTTTGTCCAGCTGCCAGCCTCTGGCCCTCACAAAGAGCCCCCCCGTCCACTGTCCATTCAACCCCCCCCCCACCACCACCATGAAAGGAATTGGGAGAAGATCCTTTGGGGGCGTTTTGGGTAGTTCCCAAGTCCTCGTCCAGGTGGAAGAGGGAGAAAGAAGTGGGCTGGGGGAACAAGGGGTTAAATGAGGGTTTCCCAATGCCAACCATGAGGTCCAGCCAGGCTCCCTGGGCGCATGCCAGGAGAAACGGAACTGGTTGGCACCTCCTGTTCCTGGTTCTACAGTCAAAGGCCAGCCAGGTCAAGGCTGCTCGGTTTGGCCAATCGATTGCTTACGAGCAAATCCGGGATCAGCAGCGGGCATTTAATGGGAGGAAGGAAATAAAAACTTAACTTTAGCCTGGTGACTTTTCAGTTACTTTTTCCCCTGGTCAAGAATGGAGGCTCCCTTCAAATATGACTATGCAGCGCCCCCTAGGGGCAGAAGAGAGAGGTCGCTCAAGGTTCCTTTCAGGTCTGACCTTGCAGCGCCCCCTCGTGGCAGT